CTGTTACGTGAAGTTCAAGGACAGGCAAAACTAACCTGTGATGACAGAGGTAGGTCAGGATAGAGGGGTGGGAGGCCCACATGTTGACTTGAAAGGGGTGCACAGCCGTCTTCTTGGGTGCTGGAAATATTCTGAATCTTGATCCAGGTGGTGGTTACATAGACGAGTGTGTACGTAGAAATGTATTCTTAAAATCTGTGTGCTTTGCTCCATGCAGTTTGAACCTCATTTAAGCAGAAGTAAGGAATTGTGACCAGTCTCCTCTTATCTTGGCATAGAAGACGTCCCCCAAGTCCTTCTCTGCCTCCCACCAAGAGTCCTAGAGGGGAACTCTGATGAGTTTTAAGTCTCTCCCCTTGTTTCTTTCTGTTGACAATCAACCAGATTCCTTTCACTGACCTGGCCTTAAGCCTGATTGGGGTCCGACAAGGCCACATTCCAGGAGACCAAAAAGGGAAGGTGGGGGTATGAGTATTAATGGTCCCATCCATAGTGTAAGAACCTGGGCTCTCCTTGCGAATCAGATATTGTTGGTGAGACAGGGCCTCAGTGCCGACTCCCAAGGTCCCCACCCCACCCGAGCAGAGCCTAGAGTGTGCCAGGTCAGGTTTGCTAGTGGCTGAGGTCTCAGGTGAATTGGTTTACTCTGGTTTCAGGTGCTAGAAATCCAAAGCAAGCGGGCTTCTGCAAAATCAGAGCAATTTACTGGAAGGCTGCTGGTGTATTTATAGAACATAACCATGGAAATGGCAGGGCCTCAGAGACACCTGGATCCCAGCGCACTCTCTTGCCTCTCTGCTTCTCTCAGCTTGATTCTGTCAGGCCTGCTTTCTCCGCACAATAGAGCGTGGCTGCCATCAGTCCCTGGTCTTATGCGCGGTAGCCTGACACTAGAAAGCCTACATCCTGCTTCCCTTGAATCCAGTCCAGAAAAATCTCAGAGGAAGGCTCTGCTTGGCGCATTTTGAGCCCGGGGCCCATCCCTAGACAAATCAACTGTGGCCATGAGGGTGGGACATTCTGACTGGCAACACCCACCAGACCACCCGGTGGTTAGAAAGTAGAAGGGAAAAGGGGCCCAAAGAAGGTGTCGTTCCCAAGGACTGGTCCCAACGAAGAAGGGGCGCTGAGCAGGGTGGACAGTGGTAGAACAGAGAAGGGTGCCACTTAATCCACGGGGCCTGGTCTGGTTACTCTCTGTAACTTTGAGCATAAGTTTCTCAGTCCAGGGATCCAGAGATATGGCCAGCAGGGTCCTCCTTTTGAGATCCAGCCAGCTCAGCAAGTGGTCAGAGGAAGCGCCAAAGAAGCATCAGTCCTCTCTCAGGCCAGGACCCTCAGCTCTGCTCACTGGGATCCCAGAGGCTGGTCCTTCAGCTGCACCCTGCTCAAGCTGTGACCAAGCGTGAATCCCCTTCCCTCTCCGGGCCTCAGTGTCCTCCTTTGTAAAATGGGAGCGATGGAGCTAACTGACTGGAGAGACGGCCAAGTCCCCTGAAATGCCCAAACCGCCTGGATTTAAAGCTCAGCTCTACCTCAGCAGCCGTGTGCCCTGGGCGACTCTTTTTTTTTTTTAAACAATTTCAAAATCACAAAAATATTTGCAAGAATAAGTCAAAGAACTCCTGTATACTCTTCACCCAGATTCAAGGTCAACTTCCAACGTGCTGACATATTTATTTAGTCATTCTTCCCCTTGTTTTTTCCCTAAACCACTTGAGAATACCTTGCATACACCATTCCTCTTTGCTCTTCTTGGCTCAGTGTTTCCTAAGAACAGGGACATTTTTTTCTCTCTTACATAACCACAGTACAGTTACCAAATTCCGGAAATTTAACATTGATACAGTATCTCCTAATCAACAGTCCACATTCCAAAGTCACCAGTTGTCTCAGAGTCCCTGCAGCTTTTCCCTCCCCAGCACCGAGTCCAGTCCGGGTCAGGAATCACACGTGGCCGTCAGGTCTCTGCAGCCCCCTTTGGGCTGGAATGGTCCCTCAGCCGTTCCTGGTCTTCCGTGACACTGTCGTTACCGAAGAACACAGGCCAACTGTTTGACAGAGAGCCTCCCCGTTTGGGTTTGTCTGATGTTCCCTCACGAATCAGCTAACGCGTCGCCAACCAGAACATTACACAGTGTTGCAGCCTTTTCAGGGCGACACGTGTGGAGGCACGTGATTCCTGGCCAAGTCTCACCGGTGCTGTCCACGCAGATCACGCAGTCAGCGTTGTGTCTGCTTTCTCCGTTGATCAGTTCCTGTTTTCCCCCTTGCGTTCAACAAGCTGCGGGGAAACACTTTAAGGCCATGCAAATAGCACGTTCCTCCCCAAATCTGCCTCCCTGGATTCAGCATAAATTGACGTTATTTGCAAAATCAATCTTTACTATGATTGCTGTAAAATTGTCATTTTCTGATTCCGCCTTTTCCTCCACATTTATCAGTTGACCTAGTAACATAAGGGAGAGCCCTCCCATCTCCTCCACTTACTTATTTTCTATTTATTGTCAATATGGATTCATTGATTCTGATTTTATTCAACAGATTATGATCTAGTACTGTCTATTTTTTAATTGGCATAAAGTATACATAACATAAAATTTACCATATTAATTATTTTTTAATTGGGGGGTAATTAGGTTTATTTATTTATTTGTTATTTTTAGTGGAGGTACCAGGGGTTGAATCCAGGACCTCATACATGCTTAGCACACACTCTTCCACTGAGCTATACTCTCCCTGCTTTAACTATTTTTAAGTGTACAGTTCACTGGAATAATTAATTTCACAATGTTGTGCAACCATTACCATCATCCATCTCCAAAAATTTTTCATCTTCCTAAACTGAAACTCAGTCCTCTTTAAACACCATCTCCTCATTCCACACCCCGTCTCCAGCCCCTGGCAACTACCATTAAACTTTCTGTCTCTAGGATTTTAATTACTTTAGGGACCGCATATAAGTGGAATCCTACAGCCTTTGTCCTTTCCTGACCGGCTTAGTTCACTGAACAGAATGCCATCAAGTTTTATTCACGAGGTAGCATGGGCCAGAAGTTCCTTTTCAAGGCTGAATAATATTCAATTGTGTGTATACATTTTGCTTATCCGCTTTTCCATCAATGGACATTTAGGTTACTTCCACCTGTCAGCGGTTGTGAGTAATGTTGCTATGGATGTGGATGTATGACATCTCTGAGATCCTGCTTTCAGTTCCTCAGCTATATACTCAGAAGTGGAATTGCTAGATCATGTGATAATTCTATGTTTAATTTTGTAGGAACTGCCATCCTGCTTTCCACAACAGCTGTACATTTTATGTTTCCACCTGCAAGGCACAAGGGTTTCAATTTCTCTACATCCTTGCCATCACTTTCTTTTCTTTTCTTTTTTCATATAATAGCCGTTTTGATGGATGTGAAACTGCATTTCCTAAATGACTAATGATCTTTAGCATCTTTTCATATGGTTATTTGTCATCCACTTTTCTTCTTTGGCTAAATCTCCGTTCAAGTGCTTTCCTCAGTCTTTTAACTGGGTTGTATGTGCTTTTTCTATATTCTGGATATTAATCCTTTATCCGATACATGATTTGCAAAATTTTTCTCCCATTCTGTGGGTTGCCTTTCACTCTGTTGGCAGTGTCCTTTGATGCACAACAGTTTTTTTATTTTTGATGAAGTCTGATTTATGTGGTTTTTTCTTTGGTTGTCTGTGCTTTTGGTGTCATATCTGACATATCATTACTAAATCCAATCCTGTATCATTTTGCCATATCCCTAACACTTTTTAGTTCTTTTTTACCTTTTGTGTCTTCCCTGCTCCAGCCCTGGAATCAGCCATTTCTCCAAAGAGCCCAGGTTGTGTTTAAGGGCAATGAAATAGAGAAACCAAGATCTAGCTGCTAAGTGTGCTCATTGCTATTGGAATGTCACCGCTTCCAGGCTCTTTTCAGTTGACCCTTGAACAATGCAGGAAGTTAGGGGCACCAACCCTCTATGCAGTTGAGAATCTGCACATGACTTTAATAGTTGGCCCTCCTTATCTGTGGTTCCCCCGTATGTGTGGTTTTATACCTGCAGATTAAACCAACTGCAGGTTGTGTAGTTCTGTAGTATTTACTATTGAAAAAAATCTGCATATAAGTGGACAAGCACAATTCAAACCTGTGTTATTCAAAGGGCAACTGTATATACTTGTGAATACATATACATCCAATCCCACAGGCTCTTTCCTTCATCTCTTGGGGAATAGCTGAACCTCAGATTCTTCATCTGAAAAATGGGGATTATAATTGTATCTATCCCAGAGGATCATTGTAAGGTTTAAACTTGAAAAGATAACCCATTTTTAAAAATACATTAGCCTAACTTGATTGATAGATTCAACACAATCCTGGTCAAAATCCCAGCAAGTTATGAATCCCAGCAAGTTTGTGACTGTCAACAAATTAATTTTAAAGTTTATATGGAGTGACCAAAGACCGAGAATAGTCAACACAATATTGAAGGATAAGAACAGAGTCAGAGAACTGACACTACCCGACCTCAAGACTTGCTATAAAGCTACGTGAACAAGACTGTGTGGTGTTGGTGAAACAATGAACAAATGAAGCAATGGAACAGAATACAGAGCCCAGAAATAGACCCACATAAATATAATAAACTTTTCCTTGACAAAGGAGCAAATTCAATGCAATGGAGAAAGGCAGTCTTTTCAACAAATGGCTCTGGGACAACTAGACATCCATTTGCAAAAAAAAAAAATGAACCTAGACACAGGCTTTAGACCCTTCACAGAAATGAACTCAAAATGAATCCTAGACCTAAGTATAAAACACAAAATTATAAAACTCCTAGAAGATAACACAGGAGAAAATCTAGACAACCCTGGGTATGGTGGTAACTTTTAATCTTATTACATTTTTTTGTTTGTGGGGTTTTTTTTGGTGGGGGGAGTAATTAGGTTTATTTATTTTTAGTGGAGGTACTAGGGATTGAACTCAGGACTTCTTGCATGCTAAGCATACACTCTACCACTGAGCTATACCTTCCCCCACGGTGATAGCTTTTTAGATACAACACAAAAGCATGACCCATATGTCTTAGTTCATGCAGGCTGCTATAACAAAACACCACAGACTGGATAGCTTATAAACAGCAGAAATTTATTCTCACAGTTCTGGAAGCTGGAAGTCCAAGGTTATAGTCTCAGCATGGTTAGGTGAGAACCCTCTTCTGGGTTCCAGACTTCTTTTATCCTCACAAGGTGGAAAGGGCTGAGAAATCCCCCTGGAGCCTCTTTCATAGGGCACTAACCCCATTCATGAGGGCTCCACCCTCATGATTTAAGGACCTCTTAAAGGTCCCACTCCCTAATACTGTCATCTTTAGTGGGTAGGATTTAACATATATATTTTGAGGGGTCACAAACATTCAGACCATAGCACCAGGAAAGAAAGAATTGATAAGCTGAACTTTATTTAAGTTAAAAACTTCTGATCTGTGAAAGACACTATCAATAAAATGAGAAAACATGCCACAGACTGAGAGAAAATATTTGCAAGAGGCATCCAAAATATACAAAGAACTCTTAAAATTCAACAATAAGAAAATGAACAATTGATTGAATAATGAGCAAAAGATTGGAACAGACAACCCCAAGAGTGAACCCTAACATGCACAATGGACTTTGGGTGACAATGATGCGTCAATACAGGCTTGTCGATTGTAACATGTACCAATCTGGTGGGGGATGTTGAGTGGGGAAGTTGGGGGCGGGCAGGGGATATATGAGAGACCTCTGTAACTTCTGCTTAATTTTACTGTGAACAGAAAACTGCCCTAAGAAAATAAAACCTATTTTAAAAAATACATTAGCAGAGTGACATTTAGTAAGTATTTAATAAGTGCTAGCTATTATGATTGTCCTCACTATTTCATGCCCCATCCAGTGCTGACATGTAATGATCCTATGACAGTAAATGGGGAACAGGGTAAGAAAAAAACTCTAAAAATATGCCTGGTTCTGGGGGGAAGGTATAGCTCAGTGGTAGAGTGTGTGCTTAGCATGCATGAGGTCCTGGGTTCAATCCCTAGTACCTCCATTAAATAAACAAACAAACCTAATTACCTCCCCTTCCCCAATTTTTTGAAATAAATAAATAAAATTTAAAAATTTTAAATGCCCACTTCCTATTTTAAATCCCCAGGTTTAAATCCCTAAGCATAAACTGACAGAGAAGGGGACACTGGGAAACGTAGACCGTGAACATTTATTGAGTACTTACTATATGCCAAGCAACTTTATTTATTTACTCATATTAACCTCACAACATCTGCTGAGGTATCTTCTGCAAGGCAGCAGAATCTCTCCATGGTTGGACTGCATGGTTTCAGTACTGGCCTTGCCACTTACAAGCTGTGTGACGTTAGGCAAGTTACTTAACCTCTCTGTGCCTCAGTTTTCTCATTTGTTTAACATAAAAATAAATGGGTTTGTACCAATCTCAGGGATGTTGCATGGATTAAATAAATAAATGAAGCACATAAGACAGGGACTGGCACACAGCAAGCATTTTGTGTTCACTGACACTATTTTAGAGATGTAGACACTGAAGCACAGACAGGTTAGGTCACTCACTCAGGGCCACACAGCTGGGAAGGGGCAGAACTGGGATTTAAACTCAGGCCTTCTCTGATGATAGACAAGCAAGTGTATAAGCAATTACAAAGGTACTATAAGCACTGTGAAAGGAGATAGTTTGTAATCCGTGGCAGCCCTGAGGAGGCCTTTCAGCAGGTCTGGGGCAGATCTGGAAGGATTGCAGGAGGAGAAGTTACCTGAGTTGTGGCTTAAAGGATGAGCCGAGGTTGCCAGGCTACCAAGCGAGGAGGTGGAGGAGAGCAGGGAATGTGTGCAAAGGCCCAGGGTGAGATGGGCAGGGGAGGGTGCAGGGAGGTGAGGGCTGACGGGTCATGGAGTGTAACTTGAGGATGACAGCAGCTGACGCACATCACAGACTGCGGGAGCCAGCGGGAACCGTCACAGCCTCGAAACCTCTCTATTTAGTAGCAGAACTCTTTTTCAGAGAAATCCTTATGATTCCTAGAACAGAAAATTGGTGAAAGCAAAGGAGCTTTAGGGGAAGGGGGGGATAGTTCCCAGGGACCCCCCCACCCCAGCTTTCCTGCCAGCCTCGCTCATCTCTGGAGAACCCATGGGACCTCAGCCCGCAGTCCCACACCTGAAGGAACTCAGGCCCAGATGCAAGTGACAAGTGAGGGCCCAACTCTCCAGGGGGACTGGAGGCAGGACTCTGAACTCCCAGCGCCAGGCCCTCTCTCCTCAGGATCCTTAGAAGCTTTTCTGGGAGATAACAGTTTGAATGGAGTTGGGAAGAAAAGGGAGGGGCAGGCAGTGCGGCTCAGAAAACCACAAAGCCTCTCTTTTCTGGGTCTCAGTGTTCCCACCTGTACAAAGGGGGGTGCTGCCCAGGATGACCTCAGGGACTCTGTCCACCCCTGGATCCTGACGCCATCGGCTGGGCCTCAGCCCCTCTTAACGGGCCCGCATCCCCGAGCCCCAGATCTCAGGCTCTGTCCCTCCAAAGCCCACCCCCAGCCTGAGAGCGGGCAGTGGGTGCCCCAGACCTGCCAAGCCGAGCGCAGAGCAGAGGGCCGGGAGCCCGGCGGCCAGAGGCTGATGTGATCCAACCTGGCGGCTCACGGTATTTTTAGGCCTCTGTGCGCCTGCCACTGGGCTGGAAGCAGATTAGAGAAAAACAAAAATGCAATGACCTCTGCTTGGCCTGACAGTGCCACCAAAGGGAAGGAAAGACTTTGAGAAAAAGCTAAACAGCCTTTGTTGGTGGTGTTTTTTTTTCCTCCCTCCTCTCAGCAGTAGGAGCAAGGCAAGGACCCATGAGAGGTTTGAGGCGCTTTCGGAGGGCCCCTCACTCTTGCAAATACCTCGTTGAGACCGGGAATTTCCTCCCATCTGCCTTCGACCCCTACCCCTGGCCACACCCCCCACACCTGGCTACACCCCCACTTTGCCTAGTGCCTTAGATGGCTCTCCAGTGGGACCCCTGCCAGCCTGTAACCAGGCCACACGGCCCAGTCTTCCTCTAAGGCAGCCCTGGTCATTTACTGAACAAACACATACATTCCAGGCTCTACCCTCAGCACTTTCTACTCGTTTATCCTCAAACAGCCTCACGTTTACAGATGAGCAAACTGAGGTTAGAGAGGATAAACCCGCAGAGTCGGGACTCACACCCAGGTAGGCAGGTAACCTCCACCCTGTGTCTTCAGGCTGCTACGCCGGGTGCCTCTCCTCTGAGGCAGCCCCAAGCGCCCTCCAGCCCGCCATGACCTCTGAGGTCACCCCTGTGCAGTGGGAGCCGGTTGTCCCGGAGTCACCATTAACAGGTGAGTCGCCTGTCCACCCCATTCTCCACTTGCCTCTGACCTGCCGCTCCAGGCTGCCCTGCCGGTTGTTCCAGGACCTCCCCCCACTGCTCCTCCCCAGATTCCTCTGAGTAACCCGAGTCCAGCCTGGAGCGCTTACACAGTTCTTGCTGAAAGCCCAAGGGAGTGAAAGGAAAGCTGAAACCCAGGCAGCAGATGTCTCTGCACTGGCCCCTCCTGCCCTGCAGAACCAGCCCAGGGGCCCCTCCTGGCTGCTTTGCTCCTCGGCCCTTTGCTGCTCTGTCGGTGAGAGGTCACACCATCAGGATCCCTTGTCCTCTTCCCAGACTCTAGGAATCCTCACTTCCCAGGCCAGCCCCAGCCAGAGCAGCAAACCAAGAAAAAAAACCCACAGTCTCTTCAAAGTTGCGGCCTCCTTGCTGTGGCAGAACACAGCGATTCACATTTGGTTCCTCCAGGAGAGGAAAATCTCAGAAAACAGAAGGGCCCTGGGAAGTGCTTTTCCAACTGAAAGAGCGATCTGTGCCCAAAGGGTAACTCTAGTGCCACCAAGGAAATGGGTTCCTATTGAGAACAGCTTTTCCTTTTGACTCTCTGACAAAATACATGTAGCAGCTGTAACGACCGAGCAATCTACCCATGGGGTATCATCCCCAAAGTTTATTTTGTCTCCTGTTATCTCTCTTTAAAAGGCACTCAGTGGAGGAAGCTCTTCCCTGTCCCTGAGTAAAAATCTGCACCCTCCTAGAGTTTTTCTTTTTCTTTCTTTTCTTTTCTTTGAGTTAATCTTTAATATGCTAATATGAGATGTAAATTTCTTATCCTTTTTTTCAATTGAAGTATAGTCAGTTTAGAGAGCTTTTCTGATCATTCCCAGGTGTGATGGTTCACTTTATGTGTCAACTTGGCTGGGCCACTGGGTGCTCAGATATTTGGTCAAACATTATTCTGGGTGCTTCTGTGAGACACCCAGATGAGATTAACATTTGGGTAAGATTAGCATGGAAATCAGTGGACTTTGAGGAAAGCAGATTGCTCTCCACAATGTGGGTGGGCCTCACCCAATCAGTTGAAGATCTGAATAGAAAGACAAAAACCCAGCCTTCCACTAAACAAGAGAGAATTCTCCAGCAGATGTCCTTTGGACTTCAGACTGGAAGTGGAACATGGGCTCTCCTGGGTCTCCAGCCTGCTGGTCCAGCTTGTGGACTGTAGATGTGCTAGCCTTCATGATTACATGAGACAATTCCTTATAGCAATTCCCTCTCTCTATGTATATATATATCTAGATCATTAGACCCTCAATGCAGGGAAAACCATTTGAATCTTGGTCTGGAATGTCTTATCTATGTTATTTGGTGACTAAGTGGGAAGTTGCAATTTAACATCCTGTTACACACACACACAATGATATGTGCAAAGAGATGGAGAATGGTTTATACATTGAATTTTGGTGGGGAGAGCTCCATCTGTGTCTGGACAGGGAATGGACTGGAGGGTTGGCTTGAGGGTAGAAGTTGAGGACTCTGGGCTCCCATTCCACCATTTTACAACTTCCCTGCCCTACCTGCTCCATCTTTCCCACCCATAGCTCCCAGGCCAAGACCAGAGAAGGTGAGAGAAGATGCTTTGCACAATAAAGGAAGAATTTGAAGAGTGATGGCAGGGGAGAGGGAACAGAAAATGGTGAAAGATGGCCTGAAACCTTAAAGTCTCTCCCTAACATCAAAGCCTGGCAAGATTCCTCTAAAATTCACAGGCAGGGTTCAGCCCCTCCCCTGTGAGTGGACACTGAGCCATTCCTCCTCATTCTTTCTGTGGGGCTGGGAACTCTGCAAAGGCAGGGACAACTGGGTCTGTCATGGCCACCACTGGATCACCCAGAGTGGGTGACAAATAAAGGTCAGATGATTGACTAGGGAATCAGGGCAGATACTAAGCTTTGGGATGGGCTGAGATTGCCCACCTGTGTGCCCAGGACTCCTATTCCATTCTGTTCCCTCCCTTCCTTTGTCCTACTGTGGTCATATGAATTATATCTTCATGCATTATAAGTCCATCAACATATTCTTGTAATTATTGCTTTATGCAACTGTCTTTTAAATTAGACAAAAGAGAAAAAAAAGAGCTACAAACAAAAAAATACATGCATGCTATCTTCTATCTTTACCTAAGCAATGACCTTTCCTGGTGCTTTTTATTTCTTCATGTGGATTTGAGTTACTCTCTGGTGTCGTTTCATCTCAGCCTGAAGGACTGCTTCAGGTAAGCATCAAGCAATAACATCTCTATTATCCCCTCCTCCCTGCACCTAGGAACCTCTAATCTACTTTCCTCTCTATGAATTTGACCACTCTCAGTACCTGATATAATTGGGATCATACAATATTGGTCCTTTTGTACCTGGCTCATTTCACTTAACATAATGATTTCAAGGTCCATCTGTGTGGTAGCATGTGTCAGTACTTCATACGTTTTTGTGGCTAAATAATAGTCCATTGTATGAACATCACATTTTGTTTATTCATTATTGATGGACATTTGGGCTGTTTCCATCTTTTGGCTATTGTGAATAATGCTGCAATGAATGCTGGCATACAAGTATCTGCCTGATGGACTTCATTTTTTGAAGGATAGTTTTGCTAGGTATAAAATTCTCTGTTGACAGTCTTTTTTCCAGCACATTGAACATATCATCCCATTGCCTTCTGTCCTCTGATGAAAAATTATCTGTCAAATTTGTTGAGGACCCCTCGTGTGTGATGGGTTGCTCTTCTCTCTTGCTGCTTTCAAGATTTTCTTTCTCTTTGTCGTTCAACAGTTCGATTATGATGTGTCCACCTGTGGATCTCTTTGAGTTTATCCTGCTTTGGGTTTACCTCTGTGAGATTGTTGAACTTCTTCGTTGTATAGATTATTGTTTTTCATCCAGTTGGGGCATCTGACAATATGTCTTCGAGTATTCCTTCTTCCCCTTTCTCACTCTCCTTTCCTCTCCTTCTGGGACTCCCATTACATGCATGTGTTTTGGTGTTCTTGATGTCCTTGGTGATCTCTACGGCTCTGCTGCTTCTTCTTCATTTTTTTTTTCCTTTCTGTTCCTCAGACTAGATAATTGCAATTGATCTATCTTCACATTAACTGATTCCTTCTTCCACCAGCTCAACTCTACTGTCCTACCCCTCTAGTGAATTTTCCATTTCAGTTATACTTTCCAATTTCAGAATCTCTCCTCGGTTATTTTTGTCTGTTTTATTTTATAATTTATAACTCTTTATTGCTGTTCTCTTTTTGGTGAAACATTATTCTCATACTTTCCTTCACTTCTTTTGACATGGTTTCCTTTAGTTCTCTGAACATGTTTGAAAGAGCTGATTGAAAGTCTTGTCCAGTAAGTACAGTCTTGCCTTCTTCAAAAACAGTTTTAATGGCTTCTTTCTTCCCTGTATATGGGTCATATTTTTCTGTTTCTTTGTGTGTCTTGCACTTTTGCCAAAATTTTTACACTTTAAATAATGTGTGGCAATTCTAGAAATCAGATTTCCCCTCCTCCCCAGGGTTCACTGTTGTTGCTGTTCATGGCTGCTGCTGCTACTTTTGGGTGTTTAGTGACTTTCCTGAACAAACTCTGTAAAATCTGCACTCTTTCCCACGTATGGCCACTAAAATCTCTGCTTGGTTAGCTTAGTGGTCAGCTAATGATTGAATAGAGATTTCTTTAAATGCCTTGAACCAGTAAGTCTCCCAGCTTTTGATGGGAGGCTCTGGGTGTGCTGAGACATGCTTTTAATGTTCCATCAGGCAGCTCACAAACTGCTTTCCACTTCAGCAGAGCCTCAAGGTCAGTCAGAGGTGAGGGATGAGGGCACCTCAGGTCAGCCCTGCACATGTGCGTGTCCTTCTAGACTCCCCAGAGTATACCAGAGCTTTTCAAAGTCCACTATGAATTTCTCATTCCCCAGCTTTTAAATTTTTTTTATTCAGCCTATTGTTCGTCCCATCTGTTATTAGTGCCTCAGGCAGCTTCGATGTTAAATTATTACTGCTGATCTTTTGTTTTTTTCTTTTTTAATAAATGTCCCCCAGGGAAAGGGCTGTTCACACTGACAGGGCTAAGTCAGGTCAAGTAAAGACAAACTCTGAGAGTGGGGATTTCCAAGTAACTTCCAGCAGGTCAAACAGTGACAATGCTCTGGAGACAGGGCATTTTAGGGAGCACCCAGCCCTTCGTGCCCCTCTGGAGGCTGCTAGGTTGCTGGGTTTCATGGCTATTATGATTGTAAAACCACCAGTTTTCAAGGCTACTGCAGAGCTAGGGCGAGGAGAACAGAAAAGGATAAATTAAAATGCCACAAAATGCACTGTTCTTACTGAGATTCAGTTAGTTTTTCTTAAAATAACTGTTCCTGGGATTGTTGTAAGCCTTTGATTCATTTCCAGATTACTGAAAAAGTAAATTTTGACTATTTTTGCCAGCACTCTCATTGCCCTTCTGAAGGAATGGATTTTCAGAGGACCTTACTCCGTATTCCAGCAGTGCTCTCCCCTCCCACAAAGACTTTGAAATTAAAAAAATTTAAATGTGCAACTCAAACAAAAGAGCTTATAAATTGAGATGGTCTGTGGGCCATCAGATTTGTGGTCTCTGGCCCCCAAAATAAGCCCTCTAAAATATTCATTTATTTGTACAGAATTCCAGGGGAGCAGCACACAGTGATTTCAGAGAGTGTGGTCCCAAGACTCCCTATGAAGTCTGGTCATGATTTTCTCTCCTGTCTCTTTCCACCTTTCAGACCACATGCCTGGCCCTTGGCTGGGATCCACGGCCATGGTGGCCACGCTGGTGGGCCTGGCCCCTGCTCCTTCACCTCTCAGCCCAGGACTTTCCTCAGGCCCCTTGAGGTGGGCAGTGAAGGGGCTGCTCCTGCAGGGAACACTGTCCAGGAGAGATGCAGTGGGTACAGAGCCTGGCAGATCCCAGGACCTGTTCTCAGGCAGTTTCTCATCATTTGATCAGTACACTAACCCCTTGAGATAGGAGGCACAGAAAGGACCACAGAGGAGATGTCTTTTGGATGCTACTGGTGGGTTAGACAATTGCGCACATCTCCCTGATTTATGAGTGAATATGTGACCTTGTAAATGTCTAGGTGTATGAGCATGAATATGTGTGTGTGTGTGTGGCTATGTGAATGTGTGCGTGTATGTGAGTATGTAATGTTTGAGTGTGTGTGTGTAAATACGTGAGTTTGAGTATGAATGTGTGTGAATGTATGAGCGTGTATAAGTGCGTGGCAATGTGTGGAAGTAAACATGCCGGCAAGTGTGTGTGAGTGCTCGTGAATGTGTGCATGTGTGACTGTGTGGAATACATATGTGTTAGGTAATGCAGTGTGGGTGTGTGAATGTGTGTGAGTGTCATGAGCGTGAGTATGTGTCAGGTTTATGCATATTTGAGTGCAAGTGTAAGTGTATGAGTGTGTTGTGTGTGGATCAATGTGCACAGATATATCAGCATGCGTGAATGTTTGAGTTTGTGTGTGTAAATCTATGTGTGTGAGTATGTGTGAGGGGAAGTGTGTGTAAATGCTTAAATGTATATAGATCTAAGTATGTTTGAGTGTATAAGTGTGTGTGTGTATTATTGAGCGTGTATTTAGATGTGTGAGTGTGTAAGTATAAGTGTCAAGGCTGAATCCACCGGATTTAACACAGCTCGTAGCACATAGTAGGTGTGCAACGAATACGTTCACTGACTGGCGAGGCATTCACTCATGCATATGCCACGGAGGTAAACACCTCTTAAAACCGGTTTCTCACTGGAACCTCCCCTTCACAGAGCTCGGTGTGGCATTCCTGTCTTGAGTTTTCGAATTGGCTGATGCTAAGATTCTAGAACTGCACTTTCACACATTTCAGTGATTTGAAAACTTTGGTTCTTGGCCCTGCTCAGCCAGCGGGATTCTGGCTCTTTCTGGCACCACAGTGCCACCTACTGGCTACAGATGGATCTTCAGTCTCGGAACAGTCCCGCCTCTCAAACCAGGAATGAAACTGGAGAGGACCCAAGCTGGTAAGAAATTGATAAAGTAAAACAATGATCATGGAGGATTCTGACAAGCACCTTGGTGGGGAAAGATAGGAGCCCTCTCTTTTTCTCTGTCTTCCCACTTTCTTGAAGCAATAAATTCCTCTGAAGACTTCAATTCTCAAGTTCCAGGGATCTGAGACTTCAACAAAACTTCTCTCCCTCCCTTCAAGTCGGCTTCCTCAAAGCCTTCCCCAGCCCACTAATTGCTCAGGCCAAACCCTGCAGGACCCTGGAGAACACCTGAACACCTCCTTTTCTCCCATGCTCACTCTAGTCCATCAGCAGTTCCTATCCGTTCCATCTTTGAAAAATACTAGAAACTGACCACTTCACATTACCTTCCTGCTCTTACTCTGGTCTGAGCTGACATCATCTCTCTACTGGAAACAACTCCTCTATCCATGTTTCTCCGAAGAAGATACACAAATGGCCAACAAGCACGTAAAAAGATGCTCAACATCTTTTAGGAAGTTGTAAGTCGTTAGGGAAATGCAAATCAAAACCACAACGAGACACCACTTCACACCCTCTAGGAAGGCTGTTATAAAAAGCAAAAACACAAGTGCTGGCGAGGATGTGGAGAAGTTGGAACCCTCACAGACTGCTGGTGAGAATGTAAATTGGTGCAGCCACTGCGGAAGACAGTCTGGCAGTTCCTCAAAAAATTAAATATAGAGGTTAGTTCTTTCTCTCACCACAGTTGGTTGAAGTTTGGATTTTTTTTTTCACTCTTTCTGGACTCTACAGTTCTTTCCAGCCTACTTTGTAGCAATTTGGGAGTCTTAAGCATCACTTTCTGGGGAATCCAAAGATCTAAGAGGAGCTTCAAGCTGTGACTGAATTTCCAGAGGGTTCATCACAGAAGCTTAACTCAACCTGGACCCTGGGATCTTCTCAGATGCCCAGTGAAGACAATTCCCAGGAAGATTCAGCTGTTTCACGACCTAAGTCAGAAGTATTAATAAAGAACCTTAGTAACTTGACTCTTAACCCTAGTGCCAAATTCCCTTCTCTTCTACCAGAATGTCCACCCCAGCAGGGTGGACAGGACAGAGAAAAGAACTTTCGAGGGTTTGGTGGAGACACAGGAGGAGGGGTGGAGCAAGGTCAATGAAAGGGTGGAAAGGGTGACACAAATCCTCAAATAGGGCCACCTCCACCAGCATCCTCTACTTCAGAAGGCAGAAGGAAGCTGACGCAAACAAATTTTGTTACATAGGTGGGTATCTGGTTGGTTTTTTTGGAGAGGAGGAAAGGGGAATTGGCTTGGACTTCCTGAATCTCCACGAACTCTGGAGAAATCAGTTCATGTTTGTAATTTAAAAGAAAATAGTCAAGGGGAAGATAGAGCTGAGTGCTTAGCAATGCACAAGGTTCCTGAGTTCAGTCCCAGTACCTCCCCTGAAAAACGAATATATGTGTGTGTATGCATGACTGTCCCATTGCGCTGTACACCAGGGATTGACACATCGTAACTGACTGTACTTCAATTAAAAATAAATAAATAAACCTGATTACTCCCCCACCCCACAAAATAAAAGTTTTTTTTTAAGTTTTAGGTTCACAGCAAAACTGAGCAGAAAGTACAGAGAGTTCCCACATACCCCGACCCCACACATTCACAGCCTCCTCCACTAGCAACTACCCCCGCGCAGTGGTACATGGTTACACTCGATGAACTTACATCAGCCCATCACCACCTAAAGTCTGTACTTTACGTTAGGGCTCGCTCTTACTATTATGTTTGTACTTTTTCACATGGGAATACCGTGTAGTGAGAGAGCAAACACCTGGGCACAGAATGTCCCATAGCGGAATGAGCCACATTTAACATTCAGAGGAACGTATTTTTATGAACTATCAGCTGCTGTGACCATTACAAAGTGACCCACAATTTGGCATTCTTTGGCACCTATACATCTCAATCCTGCCTCCTTTCCCCCAACAAAAGTTTTCAGGTTTGACCTGTTTTTTGTTTGCTTGTTTGTTTTTTCAGCGTTCTGTATCCCAAAGGCTATTCAAATAACCAACATTAGATTTGAGGATTGTTCTATCTCTTTAGGGTAAAATTAATCCATTTCATAATTCTAATTATTAACCCAATTAATTCATTTCATTCTTTTTTCCCGACAATCAGGAGATTTAGTTGCAGCTGTCATTAGTGCCTGTATCATAGACATCTTTCTGAGAATTCTAGCATGGAGAATAATTATGACATGGGGTTGATTCAGCCAAAAACCTTATTCTTGCACTCATTTTTTCTTGCTGGTAATTTTAGGATCACTCTGCAGCAGCTAGGGAAGGCTACCCTATGCTAGGACAGACTCTATACTAATATTTTGATAACATATAAGTTCTGTGATGTCTTTTTGTTTCGGTTTGGGGTTTTGTTTTTTTTTTGGTACAGGAAGGTAATTATGTTTATTTATTTAAACAGAGGTGCTGGGGATTGAGCTCAGGACCTCATGCATGCTAGGCACTCACTCTACCATTGAGCTATACCCTCCCCCAAATTTTTTATAAGTCATTTTTATGGGGAGAAGTAATTAGGTTTTAGTTAATTTATTAATTTTAGTAGAGGTGCTGGGGATGGAACCCAGGACCTTGTGCATGCTAAGCACGTGCTCCACCACTGAGCTACACCCTCCCCTCCTATGATGTCTTTTCTCCTGTATCTCTTTTCTACCTTGATACCGGTAACATAAAGAATCTATGTAGTTTGCATTTGAATGACTTCAATACACTTT